CAAAGTTTATTTTTGGACTTAGAACAACGTGGGATTAAATTCCCTGAGTCCCAGAAGGTTTTATTGGTGTTGAACAGTTTAGATAAAACTTGGGACACAGTTTCTGCTATATTTGAGTGTAAAGAAGAGCAAGACTTAAATTTTGAGGCTTTAAAGCAGCGGTTCTCAACCTGTGGGTCACGACCCCATTTTTGGTCGAATGACCATTTCACGGGGGTCGCCAAACAACGCAGTCTGCCATTTTTTCCCCTTTTCCTTAGCTGTGTTACTCCCTTTTATTCTATTGGCTTTTGAAAGCCAATAGAACAGACTCTCTTGAATAGAGTCTAATTCTATTGGCTTTCAAAAGCCAATAGGAATTGTCCAGGCTGTCTCTGCTCTGCTGAGCCCGCCAAAAGTCCCATTCTGCAAACGGTGCTGCAAGTTATATGCAGCGAAGGTGAGCTGTCTGGAAGTTTCCACCCCTCCCTGCTGAGCAACTACTAAAAATGTAAAGTAAAAGAGGGCCAGGGGTGGGAGGTGGGAGGCCGGCAGGCGCAGGGAGGGTTGCTGGCGCGCGTGGGGCCCAGCAGGTGCCTTACCTCCCTTGGGCTGGGCCAGCTGGTGGCCCAGCCGGTGGTCACCCTGCGCCGTCACTGCCCCTTGCCAGCTACGCCTCGGCAAGCGCAGGGGGCGGCACCACGCATGTGCGGCGCTCCTGGGCAGGGAAAGTCCTCGACTTACGACCGGTTGGGTAGTCCTCGACTTACAACCGGTTGGGGGGTCGTGGCATTAAAAATGTTGAGAACCACTGCTTTAAAGGCATGTTTACTTAATGAACAAGAAAAGCGCCATTTTAGAAGGAGCCACGAGGAAGTGAAATTCCTGAGGAGGGGTCCAGACTGCAAGTCTCCGGAGACATTTTGCAGGCAGAGAGCTAAGCAAGAAAAGAATTGCTACATTTGTGGAGCAAACAACCATCTGAAAAGGAACTGTTTGCAAAGGAACAATTTGCAGCAAAGGACATTTGTGCAACCAAAAAGGACTGATTTGCAAAAGGAACATTTTGGTGTTGCAAAAGTATGCTATAGCAACAACAGAGACAAGTGGCTAATAGATAGTGGGGCAAGTCAAAACAATTGTTAATGCCTCTGAATTATTTTGCAGGTTTGTTCCAGTAGCACAAGAAGCTGTGGCTTTGGCAAATGGCCAGAAAGCAAAAGTCATTGGAAAAGGCGATGTAAAAATTCCATATTTGGAATCAAAGTTTACCAATGTGCTTTGTGTACCTGAGATGGAACATAATTTGTTAAGTGTGTCTAATTTAGACAAACAAGGTTTTGAGATCATTTTTGTAAATGGGAAGTGTCTCATCAAAAGGAATGGGAATATTTTGCAGAAGGCATAAAGGAAGATAATCTATATGTATTGCAGGGACAAAAGGTTCAATGTTCCCATATATTTAAGAATGTTGCACAGCATGATTCATGTGTTCATCTTCTACATAGAAGACTTGGCCATGCAAGCTTTAAAGTTTTGCAGCAAATGCAAGAGTTTGCAGAAGGACTAAATTTGAAGGGATGCAAAACATATTTGGACTGTGCAGTTTGCAAAGCATCGATGTCAAAGGCATTCCCAGTTAGTAAATGTAGCACAAGACAAACAAAAAGAGTTCTAGAGCTGGTCCATGCAGATCTTGTGGGACCTATGCAAGTCAGTTTGGGAGGAGCAAAATATGCACTGGTAATTGTTGATGATTATAGCAGGTATTCATTTTGCTACTTGCTAGAGCAAAGACAGAGGTGCTACAACAATTCAAACAGTGGGTACGTTTTCTAGAGAGAAGGTACAGACAACAAGTGTGTCAGTTGCAAACTGACAGAGGTACTGAATTTATGTCAACTAAATTCCAACAATGGTTGGGGCAGTTGGGGATAAGACACAGACGTACAAATCCTTACACAGCAGCAGAGAACGGTGTAGCTGAAAGAAGGAATGGTGTTTTGCAAACAATGAAAGATTCATTATTTCAGGATTCTGGTATGAGCAGGTCATATTGGGGAGAAGCCATATTGACTGCCAATTATATAGTTAACAGGCTGTGGAGTTCCTCCATTAATAATACTCCATATGCCATTCTATATGGGAGAAAGCCATCACTGGCACATTTGAGAATTTTTGGAAGTACTGCATGGGTACATATTCCGAAAGCAATCAGAAGAAAGAGACAGCAAAAGGTAAGAAAGCTCAAGTTTGTGGGCTATGAGCCAGGGTCAAAAGGATATCGCTTTAGCGATGGAAGTAAAAGAATTGTAATTTCAAGGTCTGCTAATTTTGCAGAACAAAATTGGGACAGAATTAATGCAAATTCTGGGTATGTCTCACTTAATGATGGTGATCTATTTAATGACAATAACTCATCTAATGATAAAAAATGATTATTGAAGATGTCAATGTTCAGGGAGGAGAGGCTGAACAAGACATAAAACCAGAAAGAATTGAGACACAGGAGCACTTAATACCACGTAGGTCAGAGCGATGTAACAAAGGAATTCCGCCTGACAGGTATTCTGCCAGCAAGGTAAAGGTTTGCAATGTGTGGTATGAGCCAAGAAGTTATAAAGAAGTGTTGGCATTACCAAAAGCTGAACAAGAAAGATGGAAGGAGGCCATGGATAAAGAGATGAAATCCATGGGAGACTATGAAGTATTTAAATCAGTGATTTTGCCACAGGGAACCAAAGCTGTGGGTTGTAAATGGGTATATAAGAAAAAGGTATTGCCAAATAATGATATACAGTATAAGGCCAGGTTAGTGGCACAAGGTTTTTCACAATTAAAGAATGTGCACTATGATGAAGTATTTGCGCTTCCAAGGCTGTTAAGTGTCTGAGCCTCTTCTTCCGCACCCAGCCATAAGACAGATGGCTGCAGGCACATTCCATTCCCACCCCAAGAAATACACTTCAAAGAGGATTGAGCAAGGAACAAAGCAAAGGAAATACACTGTAGCAACCCCAAGCTCCCCCTCCCCACAGAGAAATGGCAGAACTCGAAAAGAACAGGAATCCCCATGCCCATAGATAGACACAGTTCTGACATGCTGCCCCCCCTTAAAAAAATGAGAGATCCACCTGGAGAGAAATAAAAATAATAACAGGGAGAGAAAATATATATGGTTTAGTCAGGTTTATCAGGATAATGAGCGTGAAATTTTTTAACAACCTGGGAGCCCTGATGTGTTGTTTATGAACCCACTCATTCTGGGAAAATGAGAGATCTTTTCAAGCTATCGAGTATTGTGTTGATTCATGATGCTTCTAGAATCTAGGATCTCCTTGACTTCAAAATGCTGTTCACCGTCCAACATAATAGGTGGAGGAGGAAGAACCATGGCTGGCCTTAAAGATGAGCTTAGTTCACGCTTTAATAGATGTTAGAGAATTTTAATTTCTCTATTGGTGAAAAAATAAATCAGAAGCTCTCACAGTTGACTGCATTTAGCTGATTCAAAATAACTTCTTTATATTCATATAAAAATATTTACAATACCATACATTCTTCTTTACAGCAACATAGCACAAATGAAGACTTCTTACAGAGAGATACAGAGTCAAAACTGAGACTGGAAATCCAGCTCCTAACTCAATCCCTTTTTGCACAGACTCAGTAGCACTTTCTTCACATTGGCTGATTGAGTTACACATGACTCTTCCTGCTCATGAATATTCCAACACTCCTCCCTTCATGATAGGAAGAGACATCAGACCTATTGACTTAACATATTCTCCATAGTGAACACTACCCAATGGTTTAGTCATCATGTCTGCCAAATTATCCTCAGAAGAACAAGGATGTAAACTAATCAATTTTCCTTTTACAGCTTCCCTGATATTACAATACTTAATGTCTACATGTTTACTTCTGTTCTTCACCCTGTCACCAGTTGCCATTTTTATACAGGCAGCATTGTCTTTACAGATTCTTTTACATTAATATTGAAATCTTGCAACAACTGTATATACCATGTTACTTCAGAACACAATTCAGATAAAGCAATGAACTCTGCTTCCGCTGTTGAAATAGCAACAGTTGTTTGTTTTCTGGACTTCCATCCAATCAGAGTCCCTCCAAACAATATTATAATCCCAGAATTTGATTTCCTTGTGTTTATGTCATTTGCATAGTCACTATCAACATAACACTTTAATTTCAATTCCTCAGTAATCTGTATTTGAAGACCCAAATTTATAATTTCCTTTAAATATCTGAGAACCCTTTTTACACCCATCCAATGTAACTTTGTAGGTGCAGCAGTAAAACGACTCAAAATGCTTACTGCACAAGCTATGTCTGGTCTGGACCACTGTGATAGATATAACAAACTCCTTATGGAGAAAAATGTTCATATATTTGTAATTTCAAACTAAAATTACTAAGACTTGTTACAGATAATTATCTGGAATTTTGGTTGAAAGTCGTTTGGTCATAAGTTGAATTAAGTGACTGGACTTGGATTAATTATTGTATTTATGATAGTCCTTAACTGAATCACTGTAGTTGTTAAACAAATCATATGATTGGTCGTAAATTCAAATCCAGCTTATGCAATAGGCATTTTTGCCATGACTGTAGGATACTGCAGCTAGTTGTCATGTGAGCCAATAATTTTGAGGACTGTTCATAAAACTAAGTCTATCATAACCTAGAACAATCACTAATCAATTGGTTGTAAGTCAAGGACAACCTGTAATTCTGATTAATTTAACAACTTACTATCACATTTTAACCCCAATGTTATAATGTCTCTATATTAACCTATATTTTTAACAATATACTTTGAACCTGAAAATGTTTTATAAAATCATATGATTTATTGAAACTTGTTTTATAAAACAAAGATACTTTTAACAGCTTCCTTTTTTCCTCACCAGCATCTGTATAGCTTAATTACCCACTCTAAAATTATTATTCTCATTCTTTACACTTTAATTGTTTTGACAAAATGTATATAAATATACCATTTCTAACTTTTCGTCAATGTCACTTTCTTCACTCTTTAGCTCCTCTTCTGTTCCTTCATCACTATCATCATCAGAAGAACTACTTATAGCTGTTTAAAAAAAAAAATGAATTACCTTTGACATTTAATACATTTTTCACAGTGATATTTGACAAACAAAAGTTAAATTTCAAAATCAAGACAGCATATTAACTAGAGGTTCTAACTGAATTACACAATTTAAACAAACCACAAAAATGTTTAGGCTATTTAATTCAAAATAAATAATAGGAATTGGAAGTCTAAGTCTTCCAAGATGTAGAATATTACGGAATTAGAATTGGTTTCATGGGAGTATAATATTGGGCATCACTTTACTGTGATTTTGAAGCATTTTTAATGACTGAAGCATTAGATAGGTATGACAAAATACTTACATCTTGTAAAATTATTTGAGATTCTTTTGAGCTTGTGGAGCAGGCAGGAAGCAGGTGGGTTCTTCTAGAGCATGAACTCTGCTTTCTGCAAGCTGGATCAATGAATTGTGTGGATGAACAATATGTGGTTAACTTGGGAGATGGTAAAAATTTAAGAAAGGGATAGTGCCATCGGTCTTGACAAAAATGATTACATAATCATTTCTAAACAGATCATCTCTTGATCCAACCATGCAATATCCTGGTCAATGTCCAATCTTTTCAATATGGTTTAAGACTTGATCTGGAAGAGAAACAACACTGGGCACCCTTGTGAATAATGGTCTGTATCTGGAGGAACTGCATTCCTTCTGGTTTCACTGGCATTTGATACTATTGATTATGCTATCCTATTAGAAAGCCTATAGCATTTAAGCACTGCAAACACTGTTTTCTCTTGATTCCACTCCTTCTTTAACAGGTAGCTTTAGTTACTATGGATGAGGAAAGTAGTTGTTCCAACATGAAATAGAATAGAATAGAATAGAATAGAATAGAATAGAATAGAATAGAATAGAATAGAAGCTGGAAAGGACCTTGGAGGCCTTCTAGTCCAGCCTCCTGCTCAAGCAGGAGAACCTATACCATCTCAGACAAGTGACTGTCTAGCCTCTTTTTAAAAATCTCCAGTGATGGAGCACCCATGATTTCTGGGGGCAAGCTATTCCACTGTTTTATTGTTCTCATTGTCAGGAAGTTTCTCCTTAATTCCAAGTTGCTTCTCTCTTTGATCAGTTTCCAACCATTGTTTCTTGTCCTGCCCTCAGATGCTCCGGTGAATAATGTGACCCCCTCTTCTTGTGGCAGCCCCTCAAATACTGGAATACTGCTATCACGTCTCCCCTATTTCTTCTTTTCTTTAGACTAGCCAAACCCAAGTCTTGCAGCTGTCTTCGTATGTTTTAGTCTCCAGGCCTTTGATCATCTTAGTGGCTCTTCTCTGAATTTTTCCAAACTCTCAATATCTTTTTTGTGATATGGTGATCAAAACTGGCTGCAGTATTCCAGGTGTGGTCTTCCTAGGGTTTTATAAATGATATTAATACCTTGCGTGAACTTGATTCTATGCCTCCGTTTATACAACCCAGGATTGTATTAGCTTTTTTGGCTGCTGCTGCACACTGCTGGCTCATGGTTAAGTGATTGTCCATTAGGACTCCAAAGTTCCTCTCACAGTTTTAAGGCAGGTCTCACCCAATCTGTACTTGTTCCTTTGATTTTTCCTGCCTAAATATAAAACTTTGTTTTTCTCCACATTAAAACTCATTTTGTTGGATAGGGCCCATTGTTCAAGTTTGTCAAGATCTTTTTGAATCCTGAGATTGTCTTCTGAGGTGTTGGCTACTCCTGCCAGTTTGGTGTCATCTGCAAATTTGATGAGTTCCCCTTCAATTCCCTCAGCTAAGTCATTGATGAAGATATTGAAGAGTACTGGACCTAAGACGGAACCTTGTGGTACCCCACTGCTTACTTCTCTCCATGTGGATATAGTGCTGTTGAGGACTACTCGTTGAGTACAGTTTGCCAGCCAGCTACAGATCCATCTGATGGTGATGTTGTCTATTCTACCTTTTTCTAGCTTACCAAAGACTTACCATGAATAGGAACCCACTACAGAAGAAATCCGTTAGTTTGGGACAAGTTATCATCAGTATGTTAATATAAGGGCAATTCAGAAATAAATCCCCGTTTGAGCATGTGTGAGAAATAGGTGGGGATAGCAGCACCTGTCCTATGTCACCATGTACAGTAGTTCAATAGGAGAGTGGAAGAAGGTTGTGTTGCAGTTGACTCGTCTGCCAGATCAATTGAAAATGAACCCTGCCATAGAAAATCCTACCAAATGTGAAGATGCCAAAGGAGTACTGCTAGTGAAGTTCATGGAGCATAGTTTGACCATCAAATGTTATGAAAACTCAGACAAGCCATCCATAATAAGCGTTGGGGCATGCTGACTTCTGGTGTGGTGTTGGTTCACGATAATGCTTATCCGCACACCACTAGACACATCCAAGAACTTTTGAAGCAGTTTCTGAAGGACTTTTTTGATAACCCTCCTACCCCCTTAGCCCAGATTTGGGCCCAAGCAACTACTACTAAGGAATTTCAAACCTTGTAAGACATTATGACAAGTGCCCCAATTTGAATGGCAATTATGTCGAACAGTAATGTAATGTTGTAGTTTTCTTTTTTACAAAAATATGTTTTATTGATTTTTAACATACACCTTAATATTTGGTAAAGAGCATGTTGTCTGGGTTAGTGTCAATAACAATTAATTTCAGTAACAATTAATTTCTATAATTCTATATAGTCCATATAATAACTTTACTTGATTTTCTTTTCTTCCAATAATATTCTCTTTTGCCAACCTTAAATTAATTGTTGTTAGTTGCGAAGTCGTGTCAGACCCATCGCGACCCCATGGACAACGTTCCTCCAGGTCTTCCTGTCCTCTACCATCTTCTGGAGTCCATTTAAGCCAGACATGTCAAACACAAGGCCCGGGGACAGATGCGGCCCGCAAAGTGGTTTCATGTGGTCCGCGAAGCCATCCTGGAAACAGGGAACAGCCCCCGCTGCCTTGGCCCTGGCCCAGGCCGACCGGGAGCCAATGTACAATTGTGTGGTGGCCATCTATGCTGAAACGCATTCAGTCTTAGCTCCACAAGGCCATCTGGAAACAGCAAAAACCAGCCCCTGCCGCGTCAGCCCAGCCCCTTAGGTGCTTGCTGGGGAGGTGTCACCCTTTGTGAGGAATGAAGAAATGCACCATCGCCTGGAAGTGGCCAGGAATTGCCTACTTCATATATCCAGCTTGATGGGCTCTGGGGGAGGGGTTTCGGCAGCCAGAGGGGCGCTCTCCTCACAGTGCTGAGAGTCTGAGCTGGGCAGCGCAAATCCAAAAAGAAGTGCGAGGCTACCCAGCTCCCAGCCTGCCCTGTTTCGGCAGGCAGCGGGGAGCTCTCCTCATAGCGCCAAGAACTGAGCCGGGTGGCACGAATCTGATGAGAAGTGTAATGCTGCCTAGTCCCCAGCCTGCCCAGTTTCAGCAGGCAAAAGGTGCAAAGCTGGTGAGCTTTGTACCGCCTGGCTCAACCTCTCAGCGCTGTGAGGAGAGCGCCCGGCTGCCTACTGAGACTGGGCAGGCTGAGGGCTGGGTCACATTGCACAGGTAATGTTGATTCTCATGCTGCTCATGGCACCCCCTCCCCCAGAGCCCACCAAGCCAGATATGTGAAGTAGGTGAGGGCCATTTGCTGGTCACTTCCAGGCAATGGTGCATTTCTTCATTCCTCATGAAGGGTAACACCTCCCCAGCTGCATTTCTTGCCTGTTTTTCTCCCTCCCTCATCTTAAATATTTTCCCACCACTCTGTACTTAGGAAGGAAGGAAAGAAGGAGAGGGAGGGTCTGAGGGAAGTCTTGCCCTGCTGCCCTTTCACCATCCCCTTGCCCCCTCCTCCTGGTCTATCCTGGGCGTCTCCCATCCTATTGCTAAGGAAGCTTTGGATACAAAGCCGGGTCTCCTCCCATGGAGAGGAAATGGGCCTCCCTCTGGCTTTGCCGTCGTACCCATTATGAGCAACCTGGCTAAGGAGAGCAAGCACAGCAGCAGCAGCCTCAAGAAGGAGGTAAGTGCAGCTGAGTGCCCCCTTGGGGAAGTGGGGCTGGGCTTGGTGCTGTGGGTGCTGAAGGGCCAGGCTGGGCATTTGACCTCTGCTGCCCAGGGCTCTGGGCAGCCCGCACCACCACCATCCAGTCCCCCCCACATGGCCTGAGAGGAACAGTGAGGCTCTTCCAGTGGACCATGCCTTGGCACTTGACCTGGTCCCATCCCCTTCTGCAGAGATCCTTAGATCTATCCAACTCCTGCCCAGGCCCCCACAGGCACCCTTGACACAAACGATGTAGAGCTGGCCATGCCCACCCAGTAGGCCGTAACCATTCCATCCACACCCACCCAGTAGGCCGCACCCACCCTGGCCACACCCACCCAGCCCCCCCGAGGGCAACCGCAATGCTGATGAGGCCCTCAATGAAATTGAGTTTGACACCCCTGATTTAAGCTCACGCCTACTTCTTCAGTGACTCTATCCAGCGACCTCATTCTCTGTCGTCCCCTTCTTCTATTGCCCTCAATCTTTCCCAGCATTAATTAATACAGTTTTTATTTAAATAAATGACAATTAAATATAGACATTTTTCTCATGTTTCTGCAAATAAAACCACATCAATATAAAGCTTTTTTTCACCGATCATCTTGATTGCCTCGTCATAAATCCTGTTTACAAAATTCTTATTTAAATTTGTTTTCCCCATAATATTCAAAGCATTCTTACTGGTTAAGATTTTCTCAAAATTAGTTAAACTTAAGTATTTAAGTCTTTTTTCTCATACAAGCCATTTTTTTTACATTTCTCATATCTTAAAGAAAAATAAGAAAAGAAAAAGCAGAAGACAAAACAGAGAAAACATTTCTTTTATATAAACATCCCAACATTTTTATATTTCTCATGTCAAAAAACCAAACACAAAAGAAAGAAGAAAGGAGACATACTATGTTACTTGAGGGGTTCATCCCTCTTAATCTAAGTACCCAGAAGTCTAATGTTGTAGTTTTCTAATGTGTATAATAAAGGTTCTATATCTGGAGTGTCTGTCATTGATAACCAAACGGAGATTTATTTCCAAATTGCCCTCGTATATTGCCATCCGGGGCCAAGCTAGAATATTATGAAAATCCTGACCTGATGTCTGGAAAGTCCAAAGCAAGTTCTGCAAGACAGAATTCTGTCTATTGTTAAGAAATCTAACTTTATTTTGGCTTTGATTTGAGCTTCTGGTGAATATAGTAATCCCCACTTTAAAAAGTAGGTAACTTGGGGTTCTTCTGGATTACAGCTCCAATCAAAGCAACAGATGGAAGACATGGCCAGGGGTTTTTTTGGCTGCTTAATGCAGAGGACATAGGCAATGGCTTTGAAAAACAAAGAGTCACTACCTAAGCTATGACCAGGAAAGTGGGATGCCATGTTATCTGTGAGCCCACCTCCTCCCTCAGGATAGGTACCCTCTATCAAATGATGTCAATTTATAATTATATGTAGGAATGATCTTGGAAGACAGGAGCAAGAGACATAAAATGGATAATTGGCATGTAAAATAGCAATAGCACTTAAATTTATTTACTGCTCCATAGTGCTTAACAGTGCTTAACTGCTCTGAGCAGTTTACAAATGTCAGCATATTGCTCCCAACAATCTGAAGTCCTCATTTTATTGACCTCAGAAGGATGAAAGGCTGAATCTATCTTGAGCCGATCAGGATCCTGGCTGTGGGTAGAGTTTGTCTGCAATACTGCATATTGTGCCACCAGAGCTCAGTCCACAGAAGGAGAAGGGGAATGAATGGGAAGTATTTCATAAGGGAACCTTCCTAGTTTTCCAGAGAATAAAAGGAAAGATGGGGTTCCTGTTTTTTTAGTTTTTACATATAGTGGTGTGATGATTGTTAGCTACTTAGACTATATTGTACAAGATGGTCAGCCATATAACTTTTATGAATAAATAAAAAGCTTAAGATCTGGCTATTCTACTGAGCCCTTGTGGTCTAATCACTTGTGAGCTATCTTTTAAATTGTTAATTATTGTTTGTTTTGTTACATGTATCCCCTTGTTTCTGTAAACTAACTTAATTGGTAGTAGGATATATAGATAAAGAACAAAAAATAATAAACCTAACTTATCCATCTGCTATAATTTGTTGACGAAAGCCTACTTTTTTCTGGATATTTTAGTGCTTTGACTCTTTTCCTGAAATAGAATAGAATAGAGCTGGAAGGGACCTTGGAGGTCTTCTAGTCCAGCCCCCTACTCAAGCAGGAGAACCTATACCATCTCAGACAGGTCATTGCTAGTATCTTCTTAAAAATTTCCAGTGACGAAGCGCCCATGATTTCTGGGGGTAAGCTGTTCCACTGGTTGATTGTCCTCACTGTCAGGAAGTTTCTCCTTAATTCCAGGTTGCTTCTTTCCTTCACCAGTTTCCAACCTTGTTTCTTGTCCTTCCCTCTGGTGCTCTAGTGAACAACCTGACCCCCTCTGCCTTGTGGAAGCCCCTCATACACTGGAATACTGCTATCATGTCTCCCCTATTTCTTCTTTTTTTTAGACTACTAGCCAAATCCAAGTCCTGCAGCCGTTCTTCGTATGATTGTCCTTTTGGTTTTTCCTGCCTAAGTGTAAGACTTTGCTTTTCTCCAAAGGTCATTTTGTTGGATAGGGCCCATTGTTCGAGTTTGTCTAGATCTTTTTGGATCCTGAGTTTGTCTTCTGGGATGTTGACTGCTCCTGACAGTTTAGTGTCACCTGCAAATTTGATGAGTTCCCCTTCAATTCCCTCATCTAAGTCATTTATAAAGATATTGAAGAGTACTGGGCCTAAGACGGAATTTGTGGTACCCCAATGCTAACTTCTCTCCATGTGGATGTAGTGCCATTGAGGACTACTAGTTGAGTACGGTTTGTCAGCCAGCTATAGATCCATCTGGTGGTGATGTTGTCTATTCTACCTTTTTCTAACTTACCAAGGAGTAGGTTGGTCTATTTTATCAAATGCCTTACTGAAATCTAAGTATACTACGCCCATTGCATTTTGCTGGTCTACTAGTTTAGTCACTTTATCGAAGAATGAGATAAGATTGGTTTGGCATGATCTGTTTTTAACAAACTTGTGCTGGCTGCTAGTTATGATTTGTTTGCTTCTAGTTGTTCACAGATCTTTTTTTGATTATCTTTTCTAGGATATTCCCAGGTATTGATGTTAAACTGATTGGTCTATAGTTTCCTGGGTCCGTTTTTTCCCCCTTCTGTTGAAGATAGGAACCACATCTGTCCTTTTCCAATCCTCAGTGCTCTAGGATTTATGAAAGATGTGGGGCAACAGTTCTGAGATAACATCTGCCAGCTCTTTCAGAACTCTGGGGTGTAATCTGTCGGGTCCTGGTGATTTATACTTGTCAAGGTCAGATAGTAGTTCTCTTACCATTTTCTTGCTTATTTTAATTTTTGTTTCTAGTATGTCGTTTGCAGTGGGGGAGGTTGGTATGTTGGGCTATAGTTTCTTTTTGTGTGAAGACTGACACAAAGTATGAGGTAAGCAGCTCTGCTTTCTCCCTGTTGCCTGTAATTTCCTTGCCATCTTCACTCTTTAGTGGGCCTACAGTTTCCTTGACTTTTTTCTTGTTGTTAATATGTTGGAAGAAACTTTTTTTATTGTCCTTGATTTCTGTTGCAAATCTTTGTTCGTTCTGAGCCTTTGCTTTCCTGACTTCTTCTTTGCATATTCTGGCTGTCTGCTGATAATCGGCCTTGGTTATGTGCCCCTCTTTCCATTTTTTGTATTTGTCCTTATTGTCTTTCAATTTGTTAGAGAGATCTTTGTGCAGCCATGCTGGTTTCTTCTTGGATTTGTTTTTCTTTCTCAGTGGTATTGTGCTGGTCTGGGCTTTTTGTGATCGCATTTTTCAGGGTTTCCCACATTTCTTGGGTTGTTTTCCTCTTTAGGATTTTCATCCATGGGATCTTTCCTAGGTTTCTCTGAATTTGTTAAAGTCGGCTCTTTTGAAGTTTAAGACATTGTTGGATTGTTTTCTATTGCTAGTGTTTGCATTATATTAAATTCCAGTATGACATGATCACTTTCACCCAAGGTTCCGGCAATTTCAATTCCCTCTATACATTCACTTTCAAAACCTGAACTCAGAAGCCTTGTGAAACTTCTGTAGTTCAATAATATATAAAATAACTGACCTAAAAAGAATCCCCGAATGTATATTTAGTATGTTTTTTTAGTATTTTTAATGTACTGGTTAAATTCAATTATCCAAGTAGATATTAAAAAGGGAGAAAAAAATCCATGGTCTACATTCAATATATCTGTTTATATTTGTCTTTTTTATAGTACAACTGCCTTAATCAACTTTTCTTTTAAGTTGCAAGTGTCTGTGGAAGAGAACTTAAATTATTTCCCTGTTTATTAACTATAGTGATATTTAATTATTACATACAATTTTTAATTAGATAGCACAAGTATCCCCTATATGCCAACTTACAGTTTTCACTACTCCTTTCATTCTCTTCAATAGGAAGGAGCTTCAATACAGAATCAACACCTGGCAATCTGCAACGCCCTTTCTTTCCTTTTCTTCTCCTAAAGAAAATTGAAGATAGGCTACTATTTAGCTAACATGATTTTTCACCTACTTTAAAGCAGTAAAAGTAAAAATTAGCATTTCAAAAATGGGGCATATTTGTGTTTCTTTCTCTGACATAAAAAACATAGATTTCAAATATATAGGGGTCAATTCATACACAATACATATTACAGTAAGATATCTTCTTTTTCCCAGTCTATAGTTTACCATTGACCAGAGGTTAGTTTACTTTTGTCTAATAATCTCTATCATCCTATCTAAGCCAAAATAAAACCATTATTTTAAGAATTAGTAAACTAAAAATAAACCAGCAGGATACAGAGATCAAGTAATTCCTTCTTGTATAAGAACAGCAAAAAAGGAAAACCTGTCTTGTTTTTCTACCTGCTACTAATAAGCATTCTCCCCATTTTATAAAACTCGTAATCAGAAATAATAATAATAATAATAATAATAATAATAATAATAATAATAATAAGAGTAGTAGTAGTAGTAGTAGTAATAATGATAAAATTGGAAGGGAACTTGGAGGTCATCTAGTCCAACCCCCTGCTCAGGCAGGAAACCCTATACCATTTCAGACAAATGGCTGTCCAGTTTCTTCTTAAAAACTTCCAGTGTTGGCGCATTCACCGCTTCTGGAGGCAGGTTGTTCCATTGGTTAATTGTTCTAACTGTCAGGAAGTTTCTCCTTAGTTCTAAGTTGCTTCTCTCCTTGATTAGTTTCCACCCGTTGCTTCTTGTCCTGCCTTCAGGCGCTTTGGAGAATAGCTTGACTCCCTCTTCTTTGGGGCAGCCCCTGAGATATTGGAAGACTGCTATCATGTCCCCCCTTGTCCTTCTCTTCCTTAAACTAGACATACCCAATTCTAGCAACCGTTCCTTATATGTTTTAGCCTCCAGTCCCCTAATCATCTTTGTTGCTCTTCTCTGTATTCTTTCTAGAGTCTCAACATCTTTTTTACATCGTGGTGACCAAAACTGGATGCAGTATTCCAAGTGTGGCCTTACCAAAGCATTGTAAAGTGGTATTAACACTTCACGTGATCTTGATTCTATCCCTCTGTTAATGCAGCCTAGCACTGTGTTGGCTTTTTTGGCAGCTGCAGCACACTGCTGGCTCATATTTAAATGATTGTCCACTAGGACTCCGAGATCCCTCTCACAGTTACTACTATTAAGCAAGGTACCCCCTGTACTATACCTGTACATTTGGTTGTTCTTGCCTAAATGTAGAACCTTACTTTTTTCACCACTGAATTTCATTTTGTTAGATAGCGCCCAGTGTTCAAGTCTGTCCAGATCCTCCTGTATCCTAAGTCTGTCTTCTGGAGTGTTGGCTATTCCTGCCAGTTTGGTGTTGTCTGCAAATTTGATGAGTTCCCCATCTATCCCCTTGTCCAAATCGTTGATGAAGATGTTGAAGAGCACTGGGCCCAGAACAGAGCCCTGGGGCACCCCACTACACACTTCCTTCCATGTAGATGCGGTTCCATTGAGGACCACATGCTGAGTACTGCCGGTCAGCCAGCTACGGATCCATCTGGTGGTGACGCTGTCTAACCCGCATTTTTCTATCTTCTCAAGTAGTAAGTTCTGGTCTACTTTGTCAAATGCCTTACTGAAGTCCAAGTAAATTATATCCACAGCATTCCTCTGGTATAATGTCATTATAACAGCAACATGTGACTTTATAAGGGCATCAAATATTTTAGAATAAAAATATTGTGTTTAAAAAAACTAGGAAAAATCATCTGCACATATAGATAGCTACCCCAAATATCCAGGATTAAAAATTAAAAACATTACAGCTGATACTGAAATTAAGTCATTTGAAAATGACTTAATCTATTTCAAAAAATCTGTTAACCATATTTGATCCTTACATGCGAGCCACAGCTTTTCTTGCCAATTTGCGCTGTAATCTGCGATTTTCATCAGTGTCACGAAGTACATGATGTTCAGCTGCCCATCTGTCCCAACTAAGTAGTTTAAAAAAAAAAATAAGAATAAAATAATTATTTTATTATAGAGGATTTCTATCAAACTGATTGAATTATAAAATAAGCAGCAAATGAATTTGAACATTACTGTGCATATATCTCCTAAGCTCCCAACTAATCTGAAGTGGCACTCTATACTGAGCAGGTAAGATACATTATGTATTCCATTAATATAGGTAGTCCTTGATTATTATCATTTGAACACTGATGTCACTATACAAATGGCACAAACCACCTGGGGATTTTGTAACATTAAGATAAAATTAACAGAATTGCCTCATTCCAGTTATGTAAGGCCACCATTTTAGAGGGGGATGCTGAGATGGAAATTTGATTTGCGTATAAAATCTGCTGAATCAAGATTTCATATGACTTAAAATTCAAGTCAGAAACATGCTAGCAACCAGGGTACTATACAGATTACTTTGCAGATTAACTATCAAGGATTTATGATTTAGCAGCACTTTGTACCACCAGAAGCTTCCAAATCATTTTTAAAGTCAATCAGAACATATTAGAATCCAAGCTTCATCTAGAGTAATATGAGTTATATCTGAATTACTAATTCTCTCCTAGTTAGTAATATTCTATGTTTTTATTTAAATATATGCTCACCTTCTATTCCAACCATTAAAATGGATCAGATATTCTGGGACCTTTCTTCCTTTCTCATCTTTTCCAATAACAATATCAACAATCTAAAATCAAACACATGCATGCTTACACAAACATTTTTATAGGCATTGTTATTATTATTATTTACAATTCATTGTCTTATAACATAGGAGTCTAAGCTAAGTAATTAAAAACATAGTCCACTACTTCATTTTAAAAGATTAAATATATTTCAGAGATTAAATGCAATAATTGGATGCAATAACATTTCTCTATTACAAAAAAATTAAACTGCCTGGAATAAACTATCTCAATATGCAACAAATTAAAATAAATAACTGTAATGAGTTTTGATATTTTGGTATTTACTTCCTTTAGAACAGGGTCCCCAACCCCTGGTCCGTGGACAGAACCGGGCCGTGGCATGCCAGCAATCGGTCTGCACAAACAAGCAAAGCCCCATCCAGAGGATGCAGGCAGCACACAAAACGACCCAACCTCGGTCCACAGAAAAACCTCTCTCCTTGGAACCAGTGCCAAGTGCCCCAAAGGTTGAGGACCTCTGCTTTAGAAGTCAATAAGGTATAGGTAATTGAAGTGGGCAAAGGTGTGATAACATCACACAGCCTGCCACAGCAATATATTCATAATGATATCACTACATGATATTTGGATGTTATTGTGATCTGTGTCATATTCTATAGAATGGGTCCAAAAATATTATCAACAGGAAATTATCTGTGAATATAAATTGTCAAAGTTGTTTTTCAGTTATATGTTTATTCTAAATATGTATTATTAATTAGTACTTGTCACTGGTTTTTCAAAATTTGATTTCTTGCCTATTTTAAGAAATTAATTAACTCCTCCTCCCAAAAAAGTAGAAATAATACCAATTTACTTTAAAAACTCACTACCATTTATTTGGAAAACTCTCATGAACAATTAACACATCTATATTATTGGCTAACCATATATAAACTGAATCCTGTTCTGAAATCCGTATTATCCCTACTTCATTTCATTCTCAAGCAAGCCAGATGACAGAAATCCAGTAAGGCAGGGGTCCCCAACCCCTGGCTCACTACCAGGCCGTGGTTTATTCAGAACTGGTCTGCTCAAGCAGTGGGCCAGCATGTTTGCACGCGCAGCTCAACTTGCACGAGCAGCGGGCTAGCATGCATGCACACAGCACAACTTCCACAAGTTGAGCAGTATGCACATGCATGCCAGCCCACTGCTTGTGCAGCCGGGTTCCCCCTCCCAGCCAGGTCACCCAGCCGCAAAGGTTGGAGACCGCTGCAGTAAAGGAAGCATTACTCCTCTTCAAGCTCAGCCTTCAAGATAAAGTAGAAATCAACTGTTTCCTCTTGAAATATTTTGGATGTTTGCTCCCTTATTTATCATCCTACTTTATTATTTGAAACCTTGCAGGCTATATTTGGCCCATATGAAGAGGTTCCTGGAATTCAGGCATTGCACTTTGAATCAAATTCTATACAGAATAAGGGTGGAAGGGATCTTGGAGGTCTTCTATTCCAACCTCCTGTTCAAGCAGGAGACCCTGTACCATTTTTAGATAAATGATTATTCAATCTTTTGAATAATATATCAATCAAGTGATGGAGCACCCACAACTATTGAAAGCAAGCTGTTCCACGGGTTAATCGTTCCAACTGTCAAGAAATCTTTCCTTAGTTCTAGGTTGATTTTCTCCTTGATGAGTTTCTATTCATTGCTTTTTGTACTGCCTTCAGGTGCTTTGGACAATAGATTGAACCCTCTTTTTAATGGCAGCCCTCAAATATTGGAACACTGCTATCATGTCACCTCTAGTCCTTCTTTTCATTAAACTATTGACATACCCAATTTCTGCAAGCATTTTTCATATGTTTTAGCTTCTCTAATCATCTTTGTTGCGCTTCTCTAAACTCTAGTTTCTAGAGTCTCAACATCTTTTTTATATTGTGACCAAAATATATACCAATTTGCAAAATCAAAACTCAATTGCACACTTTAATTTACAGTAGAATACAGGGCACTTCTGCACAAGTAAGCTCTATTACAATGCTCAAATCTTTATCAAATAACTATCACCAGTCAAGTGAACATCTCAATTTTTCAAAAATAGGTATATGTTAAACCATTCCATTTTTAAATTATGCTTATCTATCTATCTATCTATCTATCTATCTATCTATCTATCTATCTATTAAAGCATCAGATCATAAGAATAAAAAATATCTTGTGAAAAGGAATGGTGGGGACTGTAATTAGTGTATTTATCATGAAAGTGAATCTTGCTTTGTTGTAGCCCCTCAAAGACCGTGATTGGTGCATATGATGCACTAAACCATAACTAAAGTGCTGCATTCTATATACACCTAGGACACATATTGTAGAGTTATTTTTGCTTTCCAAGACACTAAGAGTGGAATGGAATGTGGGAGGCCTATAATGTTTACTTCCATTGTCAAATCAGTACTCTCAACAAAAGGCCAACCCCCATTGAGGGAAAAAAGAATTCTAGAAATAAACCACTGGCTAAAGGGTTGGTGTCGTCAAGAAAACTTTGGTTTCCCTGGATCATGGACTGCATTTTCTACGAAAAGGACTCTGGGCAAGGGATGGGCTACACCTCACAAAAACAGGGGAAAATGTACTCAGAAAAAGACTGGCCCAATTTATCAAAAGGGGTTTAAACTAAAATTGAGGGGGAAGTTTGACCAATTTTTAGAATCTCTAGAACACAAAACCAGTCATATAGTGAGGGAAAAAAATATTTGATCCCCTGTTGATTTTATACATTTGGCCACTGACAAAGAATGATCAGTCTATAATTTTAATGGTAGGTTTATTTTAACAGTGAGAGACAGAATAACAATTAAAAAATCCAGAAAAATGCATTTCAAAAAAGATATAAATTGAGTAAAATAAGTATTTGATCCCTTCGCAAAACATGACTGAGTACTTGGTGGCAAAACCCTTGTTGGCAATCACAGAGGTTTTTTGTAGGTGGCCAACAGGTTTGCACACATCTCAGGAAGGATTTTGTCCCACTCCTCTTTGCAGAACTTCTCCAAGTCATTAAAGTTTCGAGGCTAACGTCTGACAGCTCAAACCTTCAGCTGAGATAGGGAGTGATAAGAAAAAAGAAATACTCAAACAACAATCAGGAGATGCAGGAAACATACCCATGGACAGGCATAAAAGTCTTAAATGCTTATATCAAATGCTCAAAACTTGGGGAACAAACAGGATGAACTGGACCAGGGGTGTCAAACTCAATTTAATTGAGGGCTGCATCAGCATTGCGATTGCCCTTGGGGGGCTGGGTGGGTATGGCCAGGGTGGGTGCGGCCTACTGGGTGGGTGTGGATGGAGTGGGTGCAGCCTACTGGGTGGGCATGGCCAGCTCTACATACTTTGCGTCAAGGGTGCCTGTGGGGGCCTGGGCAGGAGTGGGATAGATCTGAGGGTCTGCAGAAGGGGGTGGGACCAGGTCAAGTGCCAAGGCATGGTCCACTGGAAGAGCCTCACTGTTCCTCTCAGGCCATGTGGGGGGGGGGACTGGATGATGGTGCAGGCTGCCCGAAGCCCTGGGCAGCAGAGGTCAAATGCCCAGCCTGGCCTTAGAGCACCTGCAGCACCAACCCCAGCCACATCCCCAAGAAGGCGCTCAGCTGCACTTACCTCCTCCTCAAGGCTGCTGCTGCTGTGCTTGCTCTCCTTAGCCAGGTTGCTCATGATGGCTACGAGGGCAAAGTCAGAAGGAGGCCCATTCCCTCTCCCTGGGAGGAGACCCGGCTTTATATCCAAAGCTTCCTTAGCAATAGGATGGGAGACCCCCAGGATAGACCAGGAGGAGGGGGCAAGGGGATGGTGAAAGGGCAGCAGGACAGGATTAAGGCAGGACTTCCCTCAGACCCTCCCTCTCCTTCTTTCCTTCCTTCCTAAACACAGAGTGGTGGGAAAATATTTGAGATGAGGGAGGGAGAAAAACAGGCAAGAAATGCAGCTGGGGAGGTGTCACCCTTTATTAGGAATGAAGAAATGCACCATTGCCTGGAAGTGACCAGCAAATGGCCCTCACCTAATTCACATATCTGGCTTGGTGGGCTCTGGGGGAGGGGATGCCATGAGCAGCATGAGAATCAACATTACCTGTTCAATGCCTCCCAACCCCCAGCCTGCCCAGTCTCAGCAGGCAGCGGGACGCTCTCCTCACAGCGCGGGGAGGTTGAGCCAGGCGGTACATAGCTCGCCAGCTTTGCACCTTGCTGCCTGCTGAAACTGGGCAGGCTTGGGGCTAGGCAGCATTGCACTTCTCATTAGATTCGTGCCACCCGGCTCAGTTCTTGGCGCTATGAGGAGAGCTCCCCGCTGCCTGCTGAAACCAGGCAGGCTGGGAGCTGGGTGGCCTCGCGTTTCTTTTTGATTCTCGCTGCCCAGCTCAGCCTCTTGGCGCTGTGAGGAGAGCACCCCGCTGCCTGCCGAAACCCTTCCCCTAGAGCCCATCAAGCCGCATATGTGAATTAGGAGATTCCTGGCCACTTCCAGGCGATGGTGCATTTCTTCATTCCTCACAAAGGGTGACACCTCCCCAGCAAGCACCTAGGGGGCTGGGCTGATGCAGCAGGGGCTGGTTCCTTGCTGTTTCCAGACGGCCTTGTGGAGCTAAGACTGAATGCATTTCAGCATAGATGGCCACCACAAAATTGTTCATTGGCTCCTGGCCGGCCTGGGCCAAGGCAATGGAGGCTATTCCCTGTTTCCAAGATGGCTTTGCGGGCCACATGAAACCACTTTGCAGGCTGCATCTGGCCCCCGGGCCTTGTGTTTGACATGTCTGAACTAGAAGCGATAGTACACAAGGGTGAGTATAACATAGTTGGTATTACAAAAATCTGGTGGGACGAAACCCATGACTGGAATGTACTGATGGATGGATACAAATTGTTCAAAAGAAATAGATCTACAAAAAGAGGACGGGGAGTTGCACTATATGTAAGAGAACACTACATATCTACAGAAATGCACATGATCAAATATAAAATCCCTCCAGAATGTATATGGGTTGATATAAAAGGAAAAAAGTGAAATTGCCATAGGTGTATATTACAGGCCCCCCAACCAATCAGAAGAAATAGATGAACTCTTTGCCAACCAGTTATCAAGCGTATATAGGAAGCATACCACGGTAGAAATAGGAGACTTCAACTATCCAGATATCAACTGGGAGAAAAACTCTGCAGCAAATGGGAGATCAAACAGATTCTTAACCAACCTAGACGACAACTTTATCATCCAAAAGGTAGAGGAGGGAACTAGAAGTAAAGCTATACTGGATCTAATTCTAACTAATAAAGAAGTGATAGAGCAGCGGTTCTCAACCTATAGGTCGCGACCCCATTTGGGGTCGATCGACCATTTTTCGGGGGTCGCCAAAGGTGGCGATCCGCCATTTTCTGTGGCGCCGCGCACGCGCGCCGCGCATGGGGGCGCTGCCGCGCACGCGTGCCACGCATGGGGGCGGCGCCATGCACGCGCGTCGCGCATGAGGGTGGCGCCACGCACGCGCATCACGCATGGGGGCGCTGCCGCGCACGCGTGCCACGCATGGGGCGGCACCACGCACGCGCGTCGCGCATGAGGGCAACGCCACGCACGCGCGTCACGCATGGGGGCGGCACCGCGCATGCGCACCGCGCATGCGCAGAATGTTTGTGTGATGGGGGTCGCCGTCACACAAACGTTGAGAAGCACTGTGATAGAGGGAGTTGAAGTTGCTGGAATCTTGGGTGAAAGTGATCACGTCATACTGAAATTTGATATAATGCAAATGCAAACAATAGAAAATAATTGAACCAGGGTCTTAAACTTCAAAAGAGTTGACTTTAACAAACTCAGAGAGAACCTAGGAAAGATTCCATGGACGAAAATTCTAAAGGGAAAAATAACTCAAGTATGGGAAACTCTGAAAAAGGCAATCATAAAAGCCCAGTCCAGCACAATACCACTGAAAAAGAAAAACAAGAAATTTAAGAAGAAAGCAGCATGGTTGCACAAAGGTCTCTCTGACCAACTGAAAGACAAAAAGGACAAGTACAAAAAATGGAAAAAGGGACACATTTAGAATTAGAAAAGAATAGAGCTGGAAGGGACCTTGGAGGTCTTCTAGTCCAACCCCTCGTTGAAGCAGAACATATACATGTGCCGTCCCCCCAGCCCTGCCTCCCCCTGCGGCCCCCTCCACGTCAGCAGCCCCCCTGGAGGAGAGTCACCCCCAGGCACGGCCCGCCTGGAGCAGCACAGCCAAGGACATGGCAGCCGGGCAGTGGGGATGAGACTCCACCCTTGCGCCCCATCACAAACAGATGATGCTATGGAGCACAGGTGGAGGGTGTGGCCACCATGGCGCTGCTGAGCTGCCTGAGTGATCTGCAGCGGGCTGTGGAGGTGGTGGGTGGCCCTGCGGGTGGGTGGGGTGAGGCGGGGGTAGGGCAGTTTTTGGGCACTCGGTCTCTAAAAGGTTCGCCATCACTGACCTATACCATCTCAGACAAGTGACTACATAGTCCAGTGATGGCGAACCTTTTAGAGACTGAGTGCCCAAACTGCAACTCAAAACCCACTTATGCATCGTTGGGTGCCGGGTGGGTGTGTCCCATTGGCTGGGTGTGGCCCATTGGGTGGGCGTGGCTGCAGTGGTAACGGCAGACTAGGTGGGACTAAAAAGTTCAGTCAATTCCAACTTTGCAAGATTTTTTTTTCCCGCGAGAAGTTGAAATTGACTGATTGAACCTTTTTTTTTTTGCACATGGCGGCAGAGGCCTAAAGCGAAAAGATTTTATAAAACCCAGCTGAAGGCCTAGGACTGGGGCAATGGTGCACGTGCCCACAGAGAGGGCTCTGAGTGCCTCCTCTGGCATCTGTGCCATAGGTTCGCCACCACTGGTATAGTCTCTTCTTAAAAATCTCCAGTGATGGAGCGCCCATGATTTTTGAAAGTAAGCCGTTCCACTGGTTAATTGTCACTTTTAGGGAGTTTCTCCTTAATTCCAGGTTGCTTCTCTCTTTCATCAGTTTCAACCATTATTTCTTGTCCTGCACTCTGATGCTTTAGAGAATAATTTGACCCCCTCTTCTTTGTGGCAGCCCCTCAGATACTGGAATACTGCTATCATATCACCACTATTTCTTTTTTTGTGGACATATTATATTTAGATTTCAGTAAGGCATTTGACAACTTCCTGCTTAGTAAGCTAGAAAAAATTGGGATAGACAAAATCACCGCCAGATGGATGTGTACCTGGCTGACAAACCATACTCAGCGAGTAGTCCTCAATGGTACTACATCCACTTGGAGAGAAGTAAGCAGTGGGGTACCACAAGGCTCCATCTTAGGCCCAGTACTCTTCAATATCTTCATAAATGGCTTAGATGAGGGAATTGAAGGGAACTTATCAAATTTGCAGATGACACTAAACTGGCAGGAATAGCCAACACTCCAGAAGACAAGCTCAGCATCCAAAATGATCTTGACAAATTTGAACAATTGGCCCTATCCAACAAATTGAATTTTAATGTGGAGAAAAGTCTTACATTTAGGCAGGAAAAATCAAAGGTATAAGTACAGATTAGACAAGACCTGGCTCAAAAAGAGTAACTGCTAGAGCAGTGTTTCTCAACCTTGACAATTTTAAGGCATGTGGACTTCAACTCCCAGAATTCCTTAAAATTGTCAAGGTTGAGAAACACTGTGCTAGAGGGACCTTGGAGTCCTAGTGGATGATCACTTAACCATGAGCCAGCAATGTGCAGCAGCAGCCAACAAAGCTAATATAATCCTGGCTTGTATAAACAGAGGCATAGAATCAAGATCATACGATGTATTAGTACCACTTTATAAAACCCTAGTAAGACCACACCTGGAATACTGCAGCCAATTTTGGTCACCATACTACAAAAAAGATGTTGAGACTTTGGAAAAAGTTCAGAGAAGAGCAACTAAAATGATCAAAGACTAAAACATATGAAGAATGGCTGAGGACTTGTGTTTGGCTAGTATAAAGAAAAGAAGAAATAGGGGGGACATGATAGCAGTATTCCAGTATTTGAGGGGCTGCCACAAAGAAGAGAGCATCAAACTATTCTCCAAAGCACCAGAGGGCAGGACAAGAAACAATGGTTGGAAACTGACCAGAGAGAAGCAACCTGGAATTAAGGAGAAACTTCCTAACAGTGAGGACAATTAACCAGTGGAACAGCTTGCCTTCAGAAATTGTGGGCACTCCATCACTGGAGGTTTTTAAGAAGAGGCTGTCACTTGTCTGAAATTGTATAGGTTCTCCTGCTTGAGCAGGGGGCTGGACTACAAAACCTCCAAGGTCCCTTCCAGCTCTATTCTATTATATTCTATTCCATAACAACGCCACCGCAAAAGACAATTATTTTGCCCTTGAATTTTATCCCCAAAATCTTATGGAGTGATGGGTGGTCTGTTTGGTGAACCATGATTAAGCAAAAATTTAAGAATATTGTACAAATATAGTCAAGTACAAACCACAATACTCTGAAATGAAATTTCACTTCCTTTTTTTAAAAAAAGTTTGCATAATCAGCAAAAATGGCATTAGTACTGGATAGATTTTAAGCCAGTCCACAAAATAAATATAAAAATAAAAAAATCTATTTTCAATTAATCAGAAGAGATAAAAACCTGACATTCTATGTTTGAAAGCAGTTTTAATATGGTATACACTATTGAGCAAACAGGCATGAAATGTCAGAGGCAGTTCAGCTGTGTGCTTTAAACTGGCCCTATAGCTGGCCTGTACTATAAACAGAAATACCTCATTACCAAGTGTTTGCCTCTGATTAGGAACCGGAAAACGTGTTTATCTCACACTCATCAGAAAATAAAAAATAATCAAATTGTTACCTGCACACAGAGTTTGCCTATTGTAACCAACCATTTACTACTGTTATGCCTGAGGATCACACTAGTTGTAAATGCACATCCTAAAGGAATTTGTGGCGCTTTTGCAACAAATACGATTAGGCGTAGATGGAGAGAGAAAGAAGCTTTCTTTCATTCAGGGCCATCTCTTCCCTTATTCTACGCCGTACGTTTGCATGCAGCGCCCGCTTCAAAATAGAAGTAACCCCAATGTTAATAATTTTAAATCCTACTTTTTTTTTTTTTTAAGGAGAAACGGAAATGGAAGAGAGCTTCCTCTTTCCGAGCTCCTGTCAGAAGCCTCGCAAGTCTCAACAACGACACAAACAACGCCCGGAAGCGCCACAGAGAAGGAGGTGGCTTCAGTTAGGAGGAAGCGGTTGGCGCGTGGGAAAAGAAGGGCCGCACAGTAAGCGGAGAAATCCCACCTTGGCATCATAAAGCACCTTCGCCTTGGTCGGGTCCGGCTCGAAGCAAAGAACTCTCTCGCCTTTGTAGAATTTAAATTTCATTCCCCGCGAGGTCATTTGTTCATCATGGCGAAAGGCAAAGCTAGCCACGCCCCCGAGGGAAAGGGGAGAGGGAGGCGCAGCGCGGGCGGCCCAACTCCTGCTAATACTCTGCGAGGAAGGCGTCCTCGAGACGCAGGCCTGCGCGAGCGAAGAGAAACGGACTGTTTTATCTTCGTGTGCGGCGTTGTGCGTTGAGCGAATTCCTTTGTCCTGAGAATCGGTCGTCCCGAACTGCTTACCTCGGACCATAGGAAGGCCGCTTCTTTCCTCGGAAGCGTGCGTGAAAATACAGTCTTAGTCTAAATCCAAATTTGAAGCTGTGTACGAAGTAGAGATCCCATCTCCCTTGAAATAAAGAGCCAGCACCGTCTACATTTGAGAGAATAACTGCTGCTTGTTCTGCCCTCAGGTACTTTGGAGAATGTCGACCGTCCCCCATTTCTTTATGGCAGCCTCTCAAATATTGGAACACTGCTATCATGTCACCCCAGCCCTTTTCATTAAACTAGTTATACCCAATCCCTAAAGTGTTCTTTGTATCTTTTAGCCTCTAGTACTCCATCTTTGTTGCTCTACTCTGCACCCTTTCCAGAGTTTCAACATCCTTTTTATATTGTGACCAAAACTGTATGCACTGTTCCAAGTGTGGTCTTGCTAAGGAATTATAAAGTGTTAGCATATTGTGATCTTTTTATTTTTTTATTATTATTTTAAAATGTTCATTTCTACATTGAACAGTGTGTTGTCTAGATATACAAGTATTAAAATATAATAATCATCACATTCATAATCTTATTAAAGTACAATTGTTGGAAACGATTAAAACACCAACAAAATTGGATTGGTAAGAAAAGAGTTTATTCTGCAGAAAATAGAAAAAGCAGTTTGCAATGTGCGGTGAATCTCTGGGATAAACTTCAACAGGAATTTCCAAAACAGAGCTCACACTCAAATATTCAAATTCACAGCATTATATACAGTTCTATCGCGGCGCCCCCTCCCTCCCCTTCGATCCCGTTTGAAAGGACTTCAGAGGGCACAATCTTGTCAGAGAGGCCTGACCAGAATACATCACCCCTCTCCCTGATTACATCTGTTTCAAAACTTCCCCTGGCGACCCTTTTGTCTGTTAAGTCCATCGTGAGAAAAGGGGAGAGCGAATACAGAGCCAATAAACAAAGGCAATAAACAAAGCAAATAGAGGAAGCAATAACCCTGCAGTACCCCCCCCCCAAAGATAGAATAGGAATGGGTTCTGACAACCGTTTTATTTTTAAACTTCTGTGTTGCTTACACAATCATATACTAGGAAATAGCAATCAAAATATTAAAAATAGTATTACCCACATTAACATTAGTTATATAACAAAGTATTTACTAATCCATTATAAATCTTGCTCACATAATCCACATATTCTCATATTTCCAACTTTCTAACCTGTTTTTATCAGCTAACCATTGTTAAAATAAGTACCATGTCATATAATATTCTGTTTCTTCTTTTTCTTTAATTTTTAACCTATCCATTTCTGTGCATTCCAGTATTTTTTTAATTATATTCTCCTCTGTAGGAGTTTCTTCATTTTTTCAAAATTGTGCATATGCTATCCTAGCTGCTGTTAAAATATGTAAAAGTAAGTAAGTATTACCTTTATTGTAATTTCCTGGTAACATGCCCAGTAAGAATATCTCTGATTTTAGATCTATATGTTGTTTAGTCATTGCTTCCAACCATACATGAATTTTATTCCAATATTTTTTTGCTTTGGGACATGCCCACCACATGTGGTAATATGAATCTGGTATTTGATTGCATTTCCAACATTTAGCAGATTTATCTTTATACATATTTGCTAATCTAGCAGATGAAAGGTGCCATCTGTAGAATATTTTATAAAGATTTTATTTTATTTATTTTATTTTTAAAATTTATAAACCGCCCCACTCCCGTAGGACTCTGGGCGGCTAATAATAAAAACAACATAAAACATGACAAAGAAAACAGTACAATTACAGTCATCCAGGGGTCAGGTTTTATAAACTCCAGGCCTGCCGGAAAAGCCAGGTCTTAAGCAGCTTACAGAAAACCAACAGGGTGGGAGTGGTCCTAATCTCCGGGGGGAGCTGGTTCCAAGACGTGGGCGCCATCACAGAGAAAGCCCTCCGCGGCCCCGCCAAATAGCACTGCTTGGCCGACGGGACCTGAAGGAGGCCCAGCTTGTGGGATCTAACCAGCCGAAGGGAACTATGAGGTAGTAGGCGGTCTCGCAAATAGCCTGGCCCTGAGCCATATAGGGCTTTAAAGGTAATAACCAACACCTTGAATTGGACCCGGAGACCAATAGGCAACCAGTGCAGCTCACGGAGGATAGGTGTAACGTGGGTGTATCGAGGAGCACCCACTATCACTCACGCGGCTGCATTCTGGACCAACTGTAGTCTCCGAATACTTTTCAAGGGTAGCCCCATGTAGAGCGCGTTGCAGTAGTCCAGACGTGAGGTGACAAGGGCATGAGTGACTGTAAGGAGAGCCTCCCGGTCCAGGTAGGGTCGCAACTGGTGCAACAGACGAACTTGTGCAAAGGTCCTCCCAGCCACAGCCGTCAAATGATGTTCCAAATTCAGCTGTGGATCTAGGAGGACACCCAAGTTGCGAACCTGCTCCGAAGGGAGCAGGTCTTATCAGAATTGAGCCTGAGTCTGTTAACCCCCATCCAGACCCTCACGGCTTCAAGGCAACGGCCCATCACATCAGCCGCTTCACTGAGAGAGCTCGGGGAGATAGCTGGGTATCATCAGCATACTGATGAAACCTCACCCTGTGCTGTCTGATGATCTCACCCAGCGGCTTCATGTAAATGTTAAATAGGAGGGGGGAGAGGACCGACCCCTGCGGCACGCCACATTCAAGGGGCCTCAGGGTTGACCTCTGCCCTCCCACCAATACCGATTGCGACCGGCCAGAGAGGTAGGAGGAGAACCACCGTAAAACGGTGCCTCCCACTCCCACCCCTTCAAGTCGTCGCAAAAGGATACCATGATCGTTGGTATCAAAAGCCGCTGAGAGGTCAAGTAGCACCAAGACAGAGGAATAACCCCTGTCTCGGGCCCGCCAGAGATCATCCATCAGCACGACCAAAGCAATTTCTGTGCTGAAGCTGGGCCTGAAGCCAGATTGAAAAGGGTCTAGATAATCCGCTTCATCCAGAGACCGTCGGAGCTGGAGCACCACCACTATCTCTTACAACCTTCCCCAAAAAGGGGAGATTGGAGACTGGACGGAAGTTATTTAGGTCAGCCGGGTCCAGGGTAGGCTTCTTGAGAAGGGGCCTCACAACCGCTTCCTTCAAGGATTGCGGGAAAGACCCCTCCCTCAACGAAGCATTGATCAACACCTGGAGCCAGCCTCGTGTCACCTCCTTGGCCGAGACCAACCAGGAAGGACACGGGTCCAATAAACAAGTGGAGGCGCTCATCGCTCCCACCACTCTGTCAACATCCTCAGCGGTCACAGACTTAGATTCATCCCATAAAACTAGGCTAAGACCTGCCCCAGTCATCTCAGAAGGCCCTGCCCAATTGGAGTCTAGGTCTGTCCAAATCCGAGCGATTTTGTCTGATAGGAACTGCACAAATTCCTCCGCCCTACCCTGTAAGGGCTCCCCGGCTTCCTGAACATTAAGTAGGGAACGGGTCACCCTAAACAGGGCGGCGGGGCAAGATTCTGCAGACGCAATAAGTGCAGAAAAATGCGAACATTTTGCCGCTCGTATCACCACTAAATAAGTCCTAATATAGGCTCTTAAAAGCGTCCGGTCGGATTCGGAGTTACTAGCCCTCCAGCGTCGCTCTAGATGTCTCTTCTGACACTTCATCTCCCGTAGCTCCTCGGTAAACCAAGGTGCCCTCCGGGATCCACAATCGCGGAGAGGTTGCAAAGGCGTGATCCGGTCTAACGCCCCTGATGCCGCCTTATTCCAAGCAGCGACCAAGGACTCAGCCGGTTCGTGGAGGAGGAATCAGGAAAACCCCCAAGTGCTACTTGGAACCCCTCCGGGTCCATTAAACGCCTGGGATGGAACCACCTAATCAGTTCCACCTCCCTGCGGTGGGGGAGTAGAACTGAGAAATCTAACCTCAACAGGAAGTGATCCGACCATGACAAGTGAGAAGTAACTGTACCCCTTAAATTGAAATCACGTCTCCACTGCCCCGAGAGGAATACCAAGTCGAGCGTGTGTCCTCCCCTGTGGGTTGGACCCTGAATTATCTGGGTCAGGTCCATGGTTGTCATGGAAGCCATAGAAGCCATGAACTCCTGAGCCATTTTCTTTATATGCTGTTGACATTGTAAGTTTATAGTTTCTGTCCCACAGTTTCTGCCATTTACCTAATTCTATTGTATAGCCAAAATTTTAGCCCATATTACCATTATCTCCTTTACTTGTTCTTCTTCCAATTTAGTACTTAATAAATAACTGTATATCCTTTTAATTAATATCTCATCTATCCCCATTAGAATCTGATCCAATTCAGTTGGTTCTTTATAGAAGCCATATAACTTCCTTTTTTCCCAAGTTTTTTTATTAATTTTACAATATTACATTTACATATTTGAAAAGTAGTGTGGTGGATGAGCACAATAATTCCATTACATTTGAATATCATCAGTACAAATCTCAAAGTATTACAAAAAACTAATCCCCTCTCTTTCCCCCATAATATCTACTGTCACATATTTGGACCAACATAGTTCTTATTCTATCAGTCAAACAAAAAATACCTTTCTAGTATTCATCAATAATCTTCAGTCTATACATATCTTAATTGTTTTGACATTCCATCTTTTAGACAATAACTTAGTAAGTTTTTCTTAACTTTAATTTCAAATTGATATTTAAATTTAACGTTTAATCTTTATCATTTCCAAATTTTAAATGCTCCCAATTTCTTAGTCTCCTATCTCGTATTTGGGGCTAATAATTTTTTTCTTCTTTCTACTTCCTTCCTTCCTTTCAAAAAAAAAGAAAAGAAAAAAGAAAAAAAGTCAGCATTTGTACCACAAATTTAATAATTATTAGTATTTATACTTCTAAGTTTTACTTAACCTTTATCTCAACTCATAACAATATCTTAAATTCAAATCTTAGTTATTTTTAAACATTCAAACTTTTAGCCAGTCAGTGACCTGATAATTTTCCCTTAATATTGTAATTTAACGTTTAACTTTCCCCCCCAAATTTTTAATTAAGCACAATTTGTTTATCACAATTCCTCATACAATCTAATATTTAAAATACACACCTTATATATAAATTCTACCATCCATCTTAACAAACTACGGTACAAATGCTGATGGGTTTTTTCTTTTTTCTTTTGGAAGGAAGGAAGGAAGAAAATAGAAAGAAGAAAAAAATTATTAGCCATAGAATAGAGTCTAATTCTATTGGTTTTCAAAAGCCAATAGGAATTGTCCAGGCTGTCTCTGCCCTGCTGAGCCAACCAAAAGTCCCATTCTGCAAA